GGGACGATGGGGATGTGGGATCAGATGCGGGATCTTCCTGACCAGTCAGGAGGACTGACTCCCTTTACTCTCGATTTCGAAATATTTGATGTGCGTAGTCCGGTATGTGAAGGACGCCGGAGACCACAAAAGCTCGACGAATTCGACGCTTCAACACCATCTTCGCAACACCATGCACGACCAGATCAGTGAACATGTACCATACATGACATCACCTCAAACAGTGGTGGCGGAATTGCACCAGCCTATTCCATATCGGGACGGGTATAAAGAAAGGATCAAGACATGTGAATGATGAGCCTGGCACATATGTCCGTGATTATGCTTTTCTTTTTCTCTTTTTGATCCAAAAGTAGAGAGGCATATCAGAACTGAGGGGAGGGGAACGACGCGATAGGATGGTGTAAGAGCCAAGTCTAGGCAAGACTCTCGGCAGTTTCGCACGTGAGCTAAACAAATCCGGGGTAACGCAAACCAGAATCCGGGGTGCGTGAATAGGGTCAAATGGGTAGGGCCAATGGCTTGGTACCGATGATGGCAAGACTTGTACCGTTTTGGGTTTGGGAATTTAGGGGTTTCTCGGGTAGGGAACTTGGCGAAACGTGAAGTCGAGGCAGCAGAGCCGAAGCTTGGCAAGAACGGTGCAAGTTGTTGACCAAGGAGGAGGTGAAGCTAGAAGCTGGGCGCATCCGGGGCGCATCTGGAAAAGTTCGGTAAAAGTGGTTGCGCGGGAACCAACGGGAGTGGTTAAAAGACGATCTGGTCGAGCGGCCGGGCGACAGGATGGAGAGAGTTTACGGAGCGGATCGGGTGCGACCCTGAGGCTCACCCTCCCTACCTTGCGACTCCGACAACGAAGCGTGACCTGGATCGTGATCTTGTTCGCGATGATCTTTGGGGCAGTCTCTCGAGTCTATACTCGTTTGGTAGACGAGATAGGCACATACGTGAGGTATGCTTGCCCACCGTATCTGTGACATAAGCCAAGGGAAAACGATGCAATACTTCCGGTAACGTTTTTAAGACCAACATTGTCGGTGTACTAGGGTGAAATAGTATGTTAACGGATCATACCGGTTGATACCGGTAAACCGGACTCGGAGCCGGGCCAAAGCACAAACGTCCGGCCGATCCGGTTGGGTTTTTTAGGTCATTGTTGATCTTCGGCCTTCTGTAAAACGCTGTAACGCTGTAAGAAACGTGGTTTTCTCCGCAATATATGGTTCACCCCTGAATGAAGGAGACACAACTCCTGAGTTGTTGCCAATGAGAAGAGCCCGAGTCTCAACCGCCTCACGCCGAGCACGCCGGATAACTGGAGAAGAAGCTGGAGTAAACTGGAGTCGGACGCCCGGACTACGGGGTTACGGAGTCATACACTCGAATCCAATTCCGTACCGACATTTTCGATATAGAGTAGCTGTGAAAGAGTTCGGATCTGTTGTGAAAGCGCCTTCGTCGAGCGTCAAATATTTGTCTGCAAATGTTTTGTCAAGGCGTAGCTGATGATGAATTCGATAAGTGGATGAAGTGCCGAGTGTAAGTAAAGTAAGCAGTGCTTACGTTGCAACGCTCCCGGTTTTTAGCGGATTCCAAATTAGCAAGCCGGAGTGCAACGTCAGCGAGGACTTGGATCCCGTAAGCTCTGTAAGGTTATTATATGCAAGGGCCGTAATATAGCACGTTATCGTCGTACGGCACCCGGATTCTTTTCGAAGGGCTGCCGTGTTTCTTCTTTTTGAGTGGAGTAGCAAAGGTGTAGTTGATGATACCGTAAAAAGGGCTGGGAAACTTGGTCGACGATCAATATCTGGTGCGCCCCATTGATGACCCTGTAACCGCAGACAGGCGAGTATTGGTTTGCCAATGCCCAAGTGAAAATTGTCGAGGTAATCACAAGTTGTTGGACGACAATCTCGATGTTATGGGCGACTTGGCGGAGGCTGTTACTGTTCTCATTGGATTGCGGCCTCTGGTTGACAGCCCGCAGACTGACAGGACATTGACAGTTGAGACGAGACGGTGAGGTTGCTCGCCACTCCCTTCCCATGTTGCGGGGAAAGTGCCTGAAACCGACGACCCCAGCGCCAATCCTCAGGGCTAACGGCGGCCCCGCGATATCAATGACGCGAGGCTGGGGAAAGAGAAGCGACGGCGGGGCCATATCAGCATTGCTCGCGTTGCGGTGCGAGCCCGAGCCCGTTTCTGGATTTCGGTCTTCGTCTGCAGGACCGCAGGAGGAAGACCATTCAGGTGATCATTGGCTGGGTGGACAAATCCAGGAATCCCCAGTTAGACCCCGTTCATGCGCTGTCGTTGGAGTTGCGCTAGATGAACGATAAGCCGTCTTGTTAGTGATCCGCATTGACTGCCACTGGTATGCCCTTGCCGTAATCATTTGTGCGGCTCTTATAGATGTCCATGTGCCGGGGACAAAATCAGTCTGCAGGCTGGACCTGACGCCTGTTCTGAACAGAGGTCGTCTAGAGTTGGCTTTTTTGGGAGATATCGTCAGTGTAACCCCTAGGGTGCTGCACTGCAGTGATGTGAGCCTGACCCTGTCTAGCGTTGCGGTAGAGGAGCCTCTATGCGGTCATAGCCGAGCCCGTAGAGACCGGTACCGGAAAGTCGTCACACATGGGTGGTTGCTACTGTAGTGTACGGCAGCGAGGCATCTGGTTGATAACTTTGTAGCATGATGATACAGTCGTTATCAGATATCAGGGTCTTTGGGCGGGTGATGAAGTCTGTTGGTTGAGGTTGAGGTCGAGACAAGGCATTTTGGAATTCCAAAGTGGATCAGACACCGAAGTCGAAGTCGAAGAGGACAGCTGCGAGCCTGCGACATGCCAAGACTGCATTGGAACTAAGCAGTGGGGTTGCTGGAGAAGAGCAGCATGGCAGTGTGGGGTAAAGCGTTGCGATAAGATTGCGAGAGCACTTGACTGAATGGACTCAGACCTCCCTCTGGGCCGTGCCACAAACCACCACGCGGCGCTGGCTCCATCTTTCCACTTGGCTACAGCCGGAGAGGTGTCGACTCGAAGTACTTCGGTACGAGCTTGATTTGTACCCGTTGAGGTTGCGTCGCCTAGGCGCGAGCCATTGAATGTTGAGGATTCGCTGTGGGACAGGATCCCAACCGAAACTTTGGATTCCTCCTCACATCCGTCCCAGCCGTTACGCACCCGACATATCCAACATCATATTTCTACCAACACGTCCCGCCTTAAAAATATCAACTGGCCCCAAATTTTGGATTGCTCCTGGATTATCTACGAGGCTTGTATCACCGTCTATCAACAGCTAATTCCCCAGTCGTTGGGCTTCACCTCCCTTTCGCCCCCTGGTGCCGATTTGCTGAATACTGAACAGGGCCCTAGCAATACGGTATGCAACGTTGACGCACGCCATTTATGAAATGACTCGCGGCCAATCATTTGGGCGAATTGGCCGAAGGCGCGGATGCGCCCGTGCTGTCCTTTCAGTCAAAGCCGTCTCCCCCATCCCCAGCGGACAATGGAACTACAGCAGGCCGGCACAGGATATCACCAACCGCACAAAACCGAACCGAACCGAATCTTGGTGGCAGAATACAACATTCCAGCAGCTGCTCGCTACCGATCTGAGGCCAATATCAGCAAGGCAGCACCGGAAGGCTTGTGGAATTCCACACTTTTTCAACGGGTTAAGCCGATGGGGACGAGATGCTGTTAAGGCCCACTGTTAGAACGCTACGAACAAGCCTACACTGCCACCTCATAACCCCTTCCACACGACGATGGAGACCTATGATTTCTACAACGTGTTCAAAAGCCAGCGGCTCGTGAATTCGTTGCCCACTCCATGGCTTCGGGTCAGCCTGAAAGTTTCTGGTCAAGCAACCGGTCCAGTCTAGGGGCAGTCTACCGGGGCACTGCGGGCGGCGGCGGCGCATCGTAGCACGTACACTGCGTACTAGCACCGCGTAACCATCAGGGTCTAAGATGATCCCTAGAAACTCGAAATATGCAACCCGAGTAGCCACAAGAGTGACAGTCATACATCTCCATGCTCTGGTTGACCCCCGTTACGGTGCGTTATGGTAGAGGAACCAACCATACAATGCGCCAAGGGGATAACCGGGTAGGACCTGGCATGTATGAATATGCGCTACTGTAAACCTGACATGGCATCTTGTAGGTTGCCGGGTCTGAGCAACATGGTTCTTCCCATTCTTGTGTCAGTTTTCCCTATACACATGACCTCTGCAGTCACGGCGATGGTTCCCATATCAAGGAAACTGAGAACGCCATCGATGGTTAGAAGACACCAGGGAAAAGATCACCATGCTATGGATGGCGAAAATAAAGACCACGAAACGTGTCTGGCCAGGCACACCAATGACTTCAGCCCAACACAAATGAACTGAACCCCTTTTCCAAGTGCCCGTCGTTAGACCCAAGTTCCCCAACAGCAACTGCATTACGCTAAAGAAGGGTATACTATGCCGTTACGACCCTACGGATATGTATATGCGGTCGATTTAAACAGTTCCAGTTCATTCCACAGCCAAGAGCGAAGCGATTCAAAAGGTTCGCCCGATCTAAGGGTTAATTGCCCAATCCGGAAAGCGCGGGGCGCCGGCAAGTAGCGAATAGGTAATCTTGACCTTCCATTGACTTGGCCACTAGTTGTCGAAGCTCGATGACCGAAAAGATGGAGGGGCAGCTCAGGACTTCTCTCGACTTTTGAAGAGACATTGGAATAGAAACCACAGTCTCTTGACAAAACGGGCAGTGAAGAGTATCTGAAGGGTGGGTAGGGTTCAGTTCAGTTCGATTACATAGAGAGAGGCGTGGTCACTCAGCCTCGGGCAGATGGAGAATCAGTAACTGGGTACCTGACTGGCCATGTCTCTCCGACTGTAGTGTACGCTGACGCTGGGGCTCCGGTTCGGCCGTCACCCCGCGGAGCCCTTGAAAGCAGGAGCAACCTCCAGGCGGGATGCATCCCCAATCCCAACCCGAGTCCCGTCCAGGTCCCAATGGCCCCAGAAAAGCCCAATGTTGCCAATGGCGGCCCTCCACAGTCCACAGTGGTCCCCATCCCGAGCCAGGTCATCCACACGTCCGACCCTAGCAGTGTGCCAGTGGCCCAGCCGTAGTCAGTCAATCCGTACATCATTCACGGTTACATCCTCTATCCATGCAGCTCTCCATGGCCTTCTCCACGCTGCGACTGGTGCCTCATAATACAAAAGCGCATCGGCCCCCGTCCTGCCATCCCGCTGTCCCCCCCTTCCCTCTGCCTGCTGTACCTGTACACCAACCTGTCCTGCCTGTTGTCCTCTCCTTGTTCCTCGTTGCCCTTTTTCTTATCCCAATCTCCTCTCTTTGGTTTGCGAAACCTTGGCCTCCCGTCAGCTGGCCACCGTGATCCATTCACTGCTCTGCCTTGTCTTGCGTCCTTGATCGAGCCTTTTCAGCACCGAATCCGCCTTGCTTGGAGCTGCTTCTACCTCGCATCCTGTTCAGCGAAGCGCAACAATCTGCTTGCGACCACCAGCACAGACACTTCACATCTATCATTACCAACCCAGAACAACCACAACACAGCTACCATGTCTGGCAGCCCCGATTCTTCCGCGGCAGTAGTGCCCGAGGCTCACGTTGTTGAGACCTACCGTAAGTTCCCAAGTCCCCTAGAACTCCAATTGACCGCGCAGGCTGGCTGTCAGGAGATGCAATGCGCTCGGAAGACTCTCGTCAGGAGATTGGAGACTCCAACACGAGTTTCGGCTGGCCGCGGAGTTGCACCGAACAAGCCAGCAGGGTCTCGAGTCAGGCAATTTGCTAACCTTGGAACTATCACTCTAGAACCCCCTAAGGAGATGCTTGAGAGTATGTCACCTCCAAAAAAAAAGTCCCAATTCGCATTTTCGTAACCCATGGTGGATGCCGCCCCCAACC